CTATTCATTGCTTTGGGACTGGGCTCCACAGAGTGTATCCTTCTTACTGTCATGGCCTATGACCGATTCAATGCCATATGTCGACCTCTCCACTATAGCGTTATTATGAACTCTAAGATTCTCCAGACACTAGCAGCTATGGCTTGGATCAGTGGTTTTGTAGAGTCCACAATTCAGACCATCCTCATTTTCCAGTTGCCTCTCTGCAGCCATCACAGGCTGGATGATTTTGTGTGTGAGGAGCCTGCCCTCATTAAAATTGCCTGTGTGGACAAAACCTTCCTGGAAAATGAGCTCTCTGTAGCTAGTGTCCTCTTTGTGATTATACCTCTGGGACTTATTTTGGTCTCTTATGGCTACATCATGAGGAGTGTGCTAAGGATAAAATTAGCCAAAGGTAGAAGTAAAGCATTTGGGACCTGTCGGTCTCACATGATTGTAGTGCTCTTATTCTTTGGGACTATAATTTTTGTCTATGAACAACCTAAGAGCAAGTACACACAGAAGCATAGTAAATTCCTCACTCTCTTCTATACTGTAGTGACTCCCTCACTTAATCCTTTGATCTACACCTTGAGAAACAAAGAGGTTAAATGGGCTCTGAAAAGGCTGCTGGCAAGAGACTCAAGATAAGGAGAAGTGTGAATTATACCCATGCAATTCTTCCAATCTGGAAAACTTTTAGGCATCACCTCATTACACTTTCTCATTTCATGTAAGATGAGCATAGCTAACTCACTTAATGAAAATAGCTGTGAAATATCATTTTAATGAAATCCTGAAGCTACCTACTCTAAATGATTCTTATCCTCCTTTCTGGAAGTGTTATGTGTCTCTCTCTTCCCTACTTTATAAATAGTCTATGAAAAAAATATCTATAGATATGTGAATATGTGTATGTTTTATATACTTTAATATTCCTGGAGTTATTTCTCTAGTGACTAATGCCATGACTGACATAATTATGGCAAACCTATTTTCACATTATAGAAGTATATCTTCTACTTCATAGAGGGAGAGCTGGGATCATAGCTGCAGAAATTTCTGTTTACCTAAGAATATTTCCTATTGTTTTCCAGATCTCACATTCAGTAGTAGTTTAGATAAAGAATATTCTGTCCACAGTTTACATGACAGCGTGAAGGCTCACTGGAAAATGTAAATGATCTAACGGTTTTTCTTACTTGGAGGTACTTCTGACTCTTGTTCAGTTAGTAAAAGCCTCTGGGACTAAGTATACCCAAGAATTTTTCTCATCTTTCCCAACCACAGAAGCCCCCAAGAGAAATGTGCCACGAGACTGAATGTTTCCCTTTTATGCATCTCTCATCAGACTAGAGTAGCTCTCAATATGATCCACCCAATAGCTTTATACCTGGAATTTGAGCTAAATAAGAAAACACAAGTTTAAATCTCATCATGAAATCTGGATATTTAAATTTGATAAAAAGTAAACTAATTTCCGTACAAATAATTTTTTAAATAGTCTTTGTCATTCACGAGAGCTCTGGTGGTGTAGTGTCTAAGGCATTAGTCTGCTAACCAGAAGGCTGGTGCTTCAAACCCACCAGCTACTCCTTGGAAGGAAGGTTGGGCAATCTACTTCTGTAGTGATACTGCCTCAGAAACGCAAGAAGGGGTCACTATGAGTTGGATCTGACTTGACGGCAATGTGTTTTTGTTTTTGTCATTCATATAGTATTCATTTTTATTGATATAATTTGATAATATTTACAAAATTGTTTTTATATTGACACTAAAATTTTTATATATGCTTAAAAATTTTGTAATATTTTAAATTGAGAAATATTGACCTTTTTCCATAAGTTCAAAATATTTATTTATTTATAGAATATTATTAAAATTTTTATTGGCTTTATTTATTGCATGTTATATTGTGCATGTATATATACAAACAATAACAGAGATTACCTCTAGGGAATAATTTTAATATAAATAAGTTACTCTAGTTGCTTAACAACAAGTCACATATAGAGTGGGGATGAATGGGTGGTCTCATTACCTAGTGCCGCTCTGACAAGAATATACCACAAATGGGATGGCCTTAACAAACAGGAGTTTTATTCTCTTACAGTTTGGAGGCTTTAAGTCCAAGTTCAAAGTGCCAGGCTCTAGGGGCTGGGTGAGAGTCCCTTGGCCTTGGGCTTCAGCTCTGCCTCCTGCTTCCAGCCCACTGAAGCTGGAAGCTTTTCTTCACTCAACTGCTGACTGCTGAGGCTGACAAACCCAAGGTTGACAAGTAGCAAAGCACAGTCCCAATACTAGCACACCACACAGCAGGCCATTAATTCAAGTCCATTAAAAGTCCCAAGATCAGCAGAGCATTGCAGTCTTCTGAACAATGACTCAGCTACATGCAGAGTTCAAGCGTGACATCAGCTAAAGACCATTCCCAAGTCTGTTTCTTATATATGGGAAGTAGACCACATACGCAAAAGGCAGCTGCTCACAAATTCCACCATGGAGTTGATTGCCAGTCTCATCATGGGGAATACTACGTCCAGCTGCCTAGCAATTCAACCAGGCCCAGCCAAGTTGACACACAAACTTTACCACAATGGGGTAGTTTAAAAGAAGTAATAAACACACATACACATTTGAGAAGAAAATCATGATCTAGTGAGAAGGACATCATTTAGGTACCTTAGGGGTTGTCTGTGTAGACTTTGTATTTTTCTATTCACAAAACACAATTTGATTGGCCTTATGAAATATGTCATTAACAGATAGGTATATGTAGGCATAACCAAATTAAATTTTCATTCATAGATTAGGGCAGCCAAATGCCAACTAATCATTACCATTGTATGAACCAATTATAATGTTTTTTGTAATTTGAAACAAACAAAAACTGAAAAAAATAATACTAATAATATCCTTACACCCACAGTAAGAATAATAAAAATGAATATTTTCCTTATATGCTTTACATTTCAGTAAATATTTTACTTTTTCCCTTAACTTTTAATTAAAATATAGCACATGTAAAGAAAGCAAATTATAAACATAAAGCTCAATGAATCTCTAAGAACTTAAAAAATCCTTGTTACCAACAGCTACATCAACATACAGAACATTCAGCAAAGTAGATGTTTTCCTTGTGCATCTTTTCAGGCACCAGGAACACCTAGTAATTAGTGAAACAAGACTTTTTATTATCTCTATACTGTCTTACACTTTTTATTTAGAAACTATTTCTGATATACAGAAAAGTCACAAAAGTAGTAGGAAAGTGCCCATATATCTACCACCACCTTCTCTATTGTTAGTATTTTATGCATTCATTGTAGGAATTTTCCAAACCATGAACTTAACATGAGCACAATATTATTAAAGAAACCACATATTTAGTTAGAATATTGCTGGGTTTTCCACTATTATCTTTTTTTCAGTTCCAAGATCCAACATGAGATCCTAAGTTTCATTTGGTTGATTTATCTCTTCATCACTTCTGATACATGCCAGTTCTCCCATCTTTTCTTGTCTTTTCTGACATTGACATTTTAGTAGAGTACTGGTCAATTGTTTTGTAGAACTGTTAATTTGAGATTGTTCAATGTTTTCTCACTATCAGATTGGCATTATGAATTTTTGGCAAGAATATTACAGAAGTTGTGGTGTATTAGTTCATCAGAACTAAGTTCATAAAGAGAGTATAAAACATCAATATATTAACCATGACCACTTGTTTAATGGGCTGTCTTCATGGTTTATTCACTATAAATTCACTTATTTTCCCCTTTGTAATTAATAAATAACTTAGGAGAGATGCTTTGAAACTATGGAAATATTTTATATCTCCTCATACTTAAGCCTATTGATCCCTCAGAGGATTTTGAGTACAACAATTAATGTTTGCCTAATGGTGAAGTTGGATTTCTCTCATTCCTTGTACATTTATTAATTAGAATTCTTTGGTAAGGACCAATCTTTCCTGCCTTCCTTTTCCTTCCCTCCTTGCATTTTTTTTTTCTTTTTAACATTTACAGTGGTGAAAAATTCAAAACAAGACATTCATCAATATAACAACTTCCTTCCTTCTTTTCCTTATCTATATATCATATATCTACCTATGTGTTTAATACCTAAGATATTTGACTGCTAACCAGAAGCCCAGTGGTTCAAACCCACCAGCCACTCCGTGGAAGGAAGATTGGGCAATCTACTTCTGTAGAGATACCACCTCAGAAACTCAAGGAGGGATAACCATGAATCAAATCAACTGGACGGCAGTGAGCTATTGGTTGCTGCCTATCTATTTCATTGTTTATTTATATTAATATGGACTTTGATATTTAATTCATTTTATGGATTTAGTCCAACACAATTTTAGCTTTCCTCCTTTTCTTATTTGTAACTTCTTTTTAACACTGATAAACTAGGCTCTCATCCTTCACAATTTAGTTACTTGTTTTCTTCAATCTGAGTAAACAAATAAAGTAATTTCAATAGTTGAGTAATTTACTAACTAGAGTGCAGTATCTTTACAGTATCCAGTCAAAATACAGTTTTCCAAAGTTATCTCAGGTAGTTCTTTTCTTCCTACCCTTTCAATATGGTTATGTTATTTATTTTATACAATTTTTATATAATCGCAGTTTGTGTTCTACTTTGGATTTCATCAACATCCTCGTCGATTTTGGGTAATTATTTTTGGCTATTTTTTTTCTTCTATTTTGCTATACATTTATCAACATCTGGAAGACATCATTTTTAAAACTTTCCCCTTACAACAAAATTATTTTCAGTAATAATCTAAAATTAAATAATAATAATGGCTAATAAAGAAATGCAGCAAGAGAAAATTTTATTTTATTTATTATTGAGCAAAAAATTGTTTCAATAAAAAATAAAATAATGAAAAAAATACTGCAATTAAAAAACTTGGCAAATGGTATAGGTACACCATTCATATAGAATTCTACTTTATTGACTTATCCTTTAGTTTTAAAATAAAAAATTAGTAACTATAAAAAAGACACCTTTATTTTAAGTATATGTGTCAAATCCAGTTAGCTATTTTAGCTTAAAACTAAAATTTACACCAAAAAAGGTATTATATCTTCAATTAACATTGTGTTCTATTCTTTTAAATTTTAAGCATAAATAAAACTTCCAAGTGGTCATATCAAAAAGCAGAATTGAAGAATCTTAAGTTTTTGCAATTGCTGAGGTATTATTGTTCAGTTATAATCTACTGTTTAAGTGCATGAATCTGTAGCACCACTGGATTGGTGACAAAAACTATACCTAATGAGGTTTAAAATGATTGCAATTGAAAAGTTATTCAAGTCCATCTGTATTGACAGCTGACTGAATAAGTCAGAGTTCTCTAATTCAACTTCAATGTAGAACACAATGTTTATTAAACATAAATGATAAAATACATTGATCCAATGCCTGGTATAGAAAAGTCTCTGATTTAATCTTTCTAACTCAATATAAAATGCTTATTTATCACAGACTGGTGTGTTTTTTAGTTGTTCTCATGTCATCAAGTTGATTCTGACTCATATCTACCCTAGGGGACAGAATAGAACTAGCCCACAGGGTTTCGTAGGCTATAATCTGTTCAAGAGCAGGTCACCAGGTCTTTTCTTCTATGGAGATAC